GCTTCTCCCTCTGACCCTCCTCCCTCTCATGCTCTCTGTCTCTCATTCTCTCTGTCTCAAATAAATAAATAAAAAAAAAATCTTTAAAAAAAAAATTTCAGATCCACCAGTTGTGATCACAGGAAGCATCAGTTTCCTCTGTAAATGGGAATAATACCTCCCCAACAGGGTAACAAGGACTGAGATCGTGGCCATGAAGAACTCAGGACTGTTCTGCCAGTTCCCCAGAGAACTACATTCTTCCCCAGTGCATTCTACTTCACTATTCAGACTCAAAAAAAAATAAAGATGTACACTAAATAAAATCAGTTTGTTTTATTCATGAACTTCCTTTATTTAGGAAATAAACTGAGTCACAGGGTTTACTCTCTTACGTTCCGAGCTGAACATCTTGCACTAACCACCTAACTAAAATTCTGAATCAAGTTTTTAACACTGAAAGGATATGCATGTTTATAATCTAAATGAGGTATTACCTAGAAGAAAGATCTCTCGTTAGAAAAGATGCTCTTTGTCCTAAGTCTCTCATTAACTGCAAGTCATCTTCATCCATCATATCCAAAGGAAGGGCTTCCTCTTCTTCCTCCTCTTCCCATTCAATCCTTTTACCTGTTCCAACAACAAAATCAGAAACTGGCATTAGAGGCATAGAACTCCACGTTTCTGTGTCAACAAGAGGAAAAGTTTATGCTTTTCTAGTATGTCAGCCCAGTGTTTCTAAATGGAAGCACTAATGACACGTTGGGCCGGACAGCTCTTTATTCCACTGGGGGTCTTGAGCTAAGCAAAATGCTCGCATCTCCAACCCCTGAAATCTAAATGCCAGGAGCCTTCCCAGGTCACTGTCACAACCAAAAAATAAAACGCCTCCACACAGTCTGCAAGGTCTCTCAGAGCATGCGAGAACCGATGATTTAGCTGCTTCGCTCCTTCTGATCCCCACGGACTCTCACTTCCATTCCACTTCAGCCACCCCCTCCATGGGCCACATCCCAAGCCTTGGTGCTCACCCCATCCCCTGACCACAACCATCTGTCCTTGCAGCTCTCATTCGGTTACTTCCACTGCACTTCTATGACCAAATATATAGACCTTCAATCCTCTGACCACTCTACTTCTATCTTCCATTGTGTTCTATCTTCACTCCTGGGCTTCTGCTGCATGGTAATCATTCAAACTGCCCTCTTGATAATATCCTCAACTACCTTCCCTTCTACAGTTTAGGCACTGACATCTAACAAAACCCCAACTGATCACTCTATCTTCTCCCTCTGTCCCTCACTCTCTTTCTCTTTTTTAATATAAAAATGAATGTCAACTAAGTGCCAAGCACTGCTCTAAGTGCTAAGGATTCAACCATGAACAATACAATCTTAGCGTCTTCCCTAACAGAACTTATAATTCTCCTTGACTCCAATAACACTCGTAAATATCGCCATATAAATGTACACATTGCACAGAATGGAACTCCTACCTACTTTAAATGAGCTTCCCATTTCTCAAAGGTGACCAGCAACTGGTTTATTTCCCTGATCAGCTTTCTCTCTTCCTTAGCCTTTTCAAATCTTTTCTCTATCATCACACTTCTAACCCCATCACCTACCTCACTTCATAATCCTCAGAGGAGCTAGCTTCCTCCATCACTGAGAAATGAAAAGCCAGAAGCTAGAAACTCCTGCAATTTCCCACAATGAATTCAACAGCATCTGCATCCATCTCTTCTGTTTTCCTTCTCCTAACATTGGAAGAGTGCCTCTCCTCCTGGGCTCTGGATTTAATTTCTTGCCTTCTCTTGCCTTGTTCTATCATTTAAGCCCCCTCTCCCTTATACCTTCAAACTCTCTAACCCATTAAGTTCTTTATATCAGCATTTTAAGATGGTCAAATCATTTTCCAGTGGGCAATTTGCCAACCTTTGCTTCTCAGATCATATAGATCATATTCACGGACTACAGCTGTCAGTCTTAACAGCTGTATAGTATTCCACCATAGATAAACAACATTTGTGTCATTTAACAATTCCTGTTGATGAACATTTTACTTTCAATTTTTGATCACGGTGGCATTTTTGTTTGCTATTATTAATAATGTTGAAATGAGCACACTTGGAAATATGTTCTTGGCAAATTTTTTCAAATATAATCATAGACTGAATTCCTAACAGTAACATGTTAGATCAAAGGAAAAGCATTTTCTGAAAATCTTTTTCTGTGATAGTGTATTTGAATTTATAAATATATTTTTTCCTCCTTTTTATTCAAATGGTATAAGCATCTCATACATGTGGCAAAAGCCTATAATTTCAAGTGAGTGAAAGCATCAATGCACACTACTTTTCACCTTGTTTTTTAAAATTAACTATTTTGTCGGGGCGCCTGGGTGGCTCAGTCGTTAAGCGTCTGCCTTCAGCTCAGGTCATGATCCCAGGGTCCTGGGATCGAGCCCCGCACTGGGCTCCCTGCTCAGCCAGGAGCCTGCTTCTCCCTCTCCCGCTCCCCCTGCTTGTGTTCCCTCTCTCACTGTGTCTCTCTCTGTCAAATAAATAAAATCTTTTAAAAAAAATTTAAAAAATAAAATTAACTATTTTGTAGACAATTTCTTTTTTTTTTTTAATGAACATTTTAGGACAAATCAAAAGAAACTACAGGACATGAATGCTTTCACAATTACCTGGTCGTTTTTCCTTTGGGTCCTCCAGTGGGATCGGTTTCTTAGACACAGCATCTTTTACAGCTTGCCTTAGTTTCCTCTGTTCTTTTCGGTACTTCTTGAGAGTGCTTTGTTGTTTAAATTGCTTATTTTTTAGCTTGTTTTCAAGTTTGACTTTACTAGTTTTTAGTAACTTCCGAAAGCTGGGGATCTGTTTTTTATTTCTTCTCTAGAAGACAACAGCACGAGTACTGCATACCCAGAAATTTAAACTGCAAACTCAGAACAAAATGTTGTCTTTAAAGTAAGTGCCATTCATATATCCTCTTACTGTTTACAAAGTTCTCCAACATATTTGATCCCAACAGCCTAGTTAAGCAGTTATTGCTGTTACCTTCAAATTATTACTGAAAAAGCTAAAGCTGAGAGAGATTATATGACTTGTTAAAGACCCCTAAACTAAGGAGGGCAAAACAGAATTCGGATCTTTGGATTTCAACGCTTGCTGGTAACCCCTTATTCAGAAATGCAAATCCCAGCTCTTATTTTCTGTGAGACCCAGGGCAAATCACTTACTTTGCTATCCCCTTACCCTTTAGGGAAGAAAATGGACTCATCTCGCGTCCCATGACTCACATTATAAACTCGTTGAGAACAGGACCCTGTTACCCATTTGTAAAATAAAGGGTACGAAAGATGGTCTCGAAGAACCCTTTAATGTCCGACACCCTACAGACAGAAGACTCCGTGCTTGTATTATCGCGGCCCCCTGAAGCCAAGTGCGAGCACAGTGGGCGATCAAGGAAGCTCCAGATCCAAGTGCCGGGAAGTTGGCAGAGCACAGAGAGGAGGGAGCCCCGAATCCAAGCCACCGCCCCCTTCACAAGGGCAAAAACTCGCCGAAAAACTACACCTGGCAGCGACTGTCAGCCAAAGGGGCCCTAAGCCGCGGAGATCGGGCTCCTCAAGACACTTACCGCCTTCATCCTTAAATATGAAGAGTCCCGATCCTACACTTTCACCAGGGATAGAGGTAATCCAGGAATCGCGAGGCGGCAACTAACACACGTGCCGAAGTCCCAACACTGCGCAAGGCGGAAGCTACCGCTGGTTCCTCCCCATCCTCCGCCGCCGGAAATAGGGGTGGGACTTCCGCGCCCCGGGTCGGCCGCGCGCCCTCTTGCGGCGCCGGGCAGGTGGCACCCCGGTGAACGCGCGTGTGAGCCTGCAGTGTCCCAGAGCGGCGCGCTGGCCGAAGGCGGGTGGCCTCGGGGGAGCTTCACAAGGTCTGTGATTCGTGTCCTGTCGCCCAATTTCCTTTAAGTCCTGGAGAAGTCGGGCTCCACCTTTCAGAACGAAAGGGCTTGATTTTTATCAATCACCTTACTGCACGTCGTACCTGTCCTCACGCAGTGTATCTGATCTTTCTGTCAGAGATAATGACTTTTGCAGTTAGTTTTCCTCCGTCCAGGCTTGAGGGCAGGAAAGGTTTATTCCTTTTGTGTAATGCCTGCCCCCTCGACGGGCTCTCTGGGCGTGTTTGTGGAATGGCGAATGACTTCTCCTGACCCTCCGGAGCTCAAAATTCTCTTAATGCTTGGTATTTTATTTTGAAACATTTCTTGCCTTCATTTTAACCATTGTCTGATAAAGAGGTGTGTCGGTGAGACTCTGCATTTCAATATTTTGCAACTATTACCTTTGTGTAAATTTTTCTGTCTGCTTATTAATTCCGCCAAAGTCCTTAATTCCAACAGGAAGATTTATGTACTGCAAAAATGTGGTTTTCAAAATGTTTGTCCCTCAAGGACTTTTTTTTTCCTGAATAAATTTAAGAATTCCACTTGAGTTTATTTTTTAAAGAAATAAAGTCTGTGATTCTTGAGCACATCTCTCAACTGAGACCTGACCCGGCAGCCCTAAGCCAGGAGAGACAGGCTCAGAAGTCTGAGCTCCCTGGTGGGTGTTAGTGTTAAATAGATTGAGAAGAAAACTGCCAATTTCTGGGTTCCACTTCAGAGACCAAGAATCCCATTTTGTCTGGAATTCTTTCCCTCCCTTCCAAGTTCACCAGTTTCCCCCGTTGTGCTCTCTCCTTCCACACACACACTGTCAGAAACAGCAGAGCCTGTCCCACTGGAGTATTACTTCATCAAACAAACGGCCTGTGCTCTTCCCAAGTGCCTAACAATCCCTTCCCAAACAGCTATCTTATCTTTGGTCACTCCCATCCTTCCAGCCTTCCCTCCAGTCTCTCCAAGGGTGAGGCATCCCCACTTCGGTTTTTCTCTCAACTTTATCAAGATGCCTGTATCACTAATTAACCCTTCTCTGTTTTCCCTCTCCAGTGGATACTTCCCCTCAACCTATTAGCACATTCAAGTCTCTTCCATAATTTTCTTTCTAATGACTTATCTTTTTTTTAATTTTTATTTATTTATTTGAGAGAGAGAGAGAGAAAACGAGTGGGGGGGAGGGGCAGAGGAGAGGGAGAAGCAGGCTCCCTGTCCGATGCAGGACTCGATCCCAGGACCCCGGGATCATGACCTGAGCTGAAGGCAGACGCTTAACAAACTAAGCCACCCAGGCACCCCCTGACTCTATCTACTTTTAATTGCTGTTTCATTTTCCTCCTTTCCTACTTGTCCTTATTTCCAAAAAAAACCCTAGTATTCTGGTGTCTCCACTTCCTCTTTTCTATTATCACAGCCCAAGTTTGTGCTATTTTCTTGAGGAATTAAATCATATGCTTGGCCCATGTTAAGTTTATAATCAGCTTGAATCCCTAGATCATTTTTAAGCAATTGTTGCCAAGCTAAATCCCTCCCATCTTGAATTTGAACAATCTGTTATTTGAACACAAACTTAAAAATAGAAGTTTACATGATTCCTACTAATTTAATCTTAATGGTTTCTCAAATCTATGGTCTCCAGCTTTGTGTCATTTCCCATTAGCTCAACCCACTGCTAAACTCAGTTTGGGTTCTTGTTTGTTTGTTTTTAAGATTTTATTTATTTGAGAGAGAGAGAGCATGAGCATGGGGAGAGAGGCAGAGGGAGAAACAGACTCCCCTGCTGAGCAGGGAGTCCTATGCAGGGTTCGATCCCAGGACCCCGAGATCATGACCCAAGCCAAAGGCAGACGCCCAACTTACTGAGCCACCCAGGCACTCCTCAGTTTGGGTTCTAAACTTTGAGTTCTAAACCCTGCTGACAGCGTGATTTCAAGGTCCTCTTGGATCCTCCAGAGCTTTCCTGAACACTTGGGCTAAGTGTCCCTGGGCTACCCCAAACTAGCTTCACAGGGATTGTACTCAGAGATTCCTATGAGTCTATTAAGAACCCATCTGGATCTGCCCATAACATTCCACTGTCGCTCTCGTTGGGGTCACTAAGAATCTCCAAAATGTTTTTCTTTTTTAAGTGTGCACTAAGCTATATCATTTCTTTTTACTTTTTTTTTTCTTTTTAACCTCACTAGATTTCTCCACTACATTTGATGCTACACATTTCTTCTTTCTTACATTACAGTGTCAGTGTCCTTGGCTCTCCTAACAGCCTCTTCCCTGGGTTCTTGTCCCACCTGCATTCCTTCTTCCTCATGCCTCTTTAATGTAGGTGATTTTCAGGGTTCTGGTCTGGGCCCACCTTTCTACTTCTGATTCTACCTGCTCTTCCAGTGTGATCTCATCCATCTACATATTGCAGAAAGATTTCCAAATCCTTTGTCCAGTCCATACCTTTCCCTCCAAGCTTCCATTTTATAGCTACCTCCTTCAGGACATCTCCACACAGTTACCATAGAACTTTAAGTCACCATGTTCAAAAGCAAACTATTTTCTTTACTTGGGCCTCTTGCAAGATTTCCTATTTCATTCATTTACCCACAGCTAGAATCCCAGTATTCCAGAAATCTTGGGACACAAGCTAGGGCTTTCCTGGCCATGCTCTATAATAAACTGATTTGAAAAATGTCACTAAATAGGCAGGGAACAATAAGGCTTCTGGTGTTCCTGTCCCACAAGATAATTCATATAAGTTGTAACAAGGGACCTTGAAACTAAAAGCACATAATAAGCTCAAAGGAGATGTCATATTTCCTAATGAGAAATTACTAAATGGTGCCAGATTATAAATGTAAATCTCCAAAATTCAGACATCAAGAATTTGAAAATATATGTATCATGGCCTCTTCCTTTAGAACGTCAAAATATAGTTGAGAAAAATGTATATATAGGGTGCCTGGGTGGCTCAGTCGGTTAAGCGTGGGCCTTTGGCTTAGGTCATGATCCCAGGGTCCTGGGATCGAGCCCCGCATCGGGCTCCCTGCTCAGCAGGAAGCCTGCTTCTCCCTCTCCCACTCGCCCTGCTTGTGTTCCCTCTCTCGCTGTGTCTCTATCATATAAATAAAATCTTAAAAAAAAAAAAAGTATATATAGTTGAGAAAGATAATTATGCATGACCAAATAGAGATTAATAGAAGAGTTTGTAGGGGCACCTGGGTGGCTCAGTTAAGCATCTGCCTTCGACTCAGGTCATGATCCCAGGGTCCTGGGATAGAGCCCCATATCTGGCTCCCTGCTCTGCGTGCGCACCGGCTTCTCCCTCTGCCTGGCGCTCTCCCTGCTTGTGCTCTCTCTCTTCTATTTTTTTTTTTTTTAATTTATTTATTTGAGACAGAGAGAATGAGAGAGACAGAGAGCATGAGAGGGAGGAGGGTCAGAGGGAGAAGCAGGCTCCCTGCTGAGCAGGGAGCCCGATGCGGGACTCGATCCAGGGACTCCAGGATCATGACCTGAGCCGAAGGCAGTCGCTTAACCAACTGAGCCACCCAGGCGCCCTCTCTTCTATTTTTTAAAAAAATATTTATAGGTGCTAAAAGAGAAAGAAAAGCTTGGGAAGAAATGACAGAGCAATGAATACTTAAATGGACCCTTATAGAAAGGACAAAGTTCGTAGAGATGGGATAATATTTTCTGAGCAAGATCACACAGGTAATGCAAATAATTTTTATTGTGACCCATCAGGAAATTAGCTTAAAATAACTAATAACCATAATGATTAATTATGGAATTAAAATTGTAAACAAAAGACTGATGCCAAAAAATAATAATATAGCAAATGTTGTTGGTATCCCAACAACACCCTTTCAGCACTTATTACACACATGCAGAAAAAAGTCCTCTACAGTGTTTGCAACTTTTCACTTGAAGACTTTTTCACAAACCCTGCAAAGCAGGCCAGAAGTGCCAAAGAATTTTCACTCCTGAGAGCAGCCTTTGCAGTGATAAATTGAAGTTGAAGGATAAATACACCAATTGTAGTAGGCTGAAAAATGTCCTCCCCAGATATTGGGCCCTAATCCCTAAAGCCTGTGAATATTACCTCAGATGGCTAAAGGTGTGATTAAGGATCTTGAGATGGGGAGATTATCCTGGACTATCCAGGTAGGCCCTAAATGGAATTACATGTGTCTGTGTATGAGCTAGGAGGAGGGAGATTTCACAGATAGAAGAGGAAGAGGCAATGTGACTACAGAGCAGAGATTGTAGTGATGTAGCCACAAATCAAGAAATGCCCCAGCACCAGAAAGGGGAAGAGGCAAGGGACAGATTATCCCCTAGATTCTTGGGAGGGAGCACAACCCTGCTGACAGCTTGATTTCAGTGATAATGATTTCTGATTTCTTACCTCTCAACTTGTGAGAGAATGAATTTTGTGGGCACCTGACTGGTTCAGGTAGAACATGTGACTCTGGATCTCAGAGTTGTAGGTTCAAGCCCTACATTGGGTGTAGAGATTCCTAAAAAAAAAAAAAAATTTAAAATAAATTTCTGTTGTTTTCAACCATCAAATTTGTGGCAATTTGTCACAACAGCCATCAAAAACTAAAACACCAATATTTTACTGCTCAGTATGCCAGTGTCCTCATTCCACAGAAGTAGGATGACTCTGAGGCATCTTCTACATTGTCTCCCAGAGATCCACAGAAGGAATGAACTCCACCTACAAAGCTAACCTACTCATCAGCCCACTCTCTCACTGTCCTTCTCTTCCCAGTCTCACTTCCCCACCCTTCTATCAATGGTTTCTGGACTCTTCTTTGAAATAA